CTGTCCCCAAAGGCCCCCCGGGCCTGCGCAGAGGAGCCCCTGGGAAGGAGCCCGGAGGAGGCTGGCAGGGGCCGCCCACGGCCCTGAGCACTTGCGGCTGTGCACTTCGGGGCTGCAATGTCTGCCTTGGAATCCCCGCTCGCCATTCTGCCGCTGCGGGGCATGCTTTGCCTCTGTGTCCCTGTTTATTCCTCTGTCTTTGGTTTGGTTTGGAGACAGGGTCTTATAATGTAGCCTAGGCTGGCTGGAACTTGTGGTGACCCTCCTGCCTCGGCCTCCTGAGGGCTGGGATTGTACATGTGCAGCACCACGCCCAGACTGTCGGCCCAGCTGTTAGCGGGGAGAGTAATAAGACTGCCATGGGGTGCAGACAGACCTGCGTGAGTCAGACCTGGGAGGCCGTGGGGAGTGAGGGAGCCCGAGGATCATTCAGGCCTCCTCTACTGGGAGTGCTTTGGACACAGCAGCAGCAGAAGCCATCAGTGTACACAGCCTGGGAGCACAGCCCTGCTGGGGACGGCCACACACCATCCACATGGGGGTGAGCATCCGGGAGCTCTGCCCCAAATGCTGCAAGGTGGAAAATTCCATCCAGCCGCCCTGCGGGTCCCAGTCCAAAGGCCAAAGGCAGGGGCGCGAGAGTATCTCACCCAGTCCCTTCCAGGCTGTGTGCAGAAGGCACACAAAACCTACGCAGACTTTATGTTCAGGCTCTGGATCCCTCACAAGATATCTTGTGACATATTTGCAAATGTTACAGGATCTTGAAAAAAGTATCTGAACTCCAAACCCTTCCAGTCTCAAGCACTTGGAATAAATAAGAGACACACAGCCTGTGTTGTTGTCTTAGATACTTTCCCTGCATTGCTGAGACAAAATATCCAATGCCCAAAGTTAAGGAAGGGAAGGTTTATTTAGCTCACAGTTTGTGAGGGTTTCAGTCCTTAACTGGCTGGCTCCAAGGAAAAGCGGCACATGGCAGAAGGCAACAGTTCATGGCGGCGGAAAACAGCAAAAGCAACAAGAACAACAGCAGCAAGCAGCCTCTTCTCCCCCTTTTATGTTGTAGGCAAGCTGCCCGCCCCAGGGCAACTGTAGCATTTGCACCCCTAATCCCAGCATTGGACTATGAGTCAATCAAAAACTCTAGAAGCCCGCCCCATAACTTTGTGAGGCTTTGGGGACATCCAGACACAAACCATAACAGCTGTATAAACCGTGAGTGGGAAAGAAGCCAGTGTGGTGGCTCACGTCTGTAATCCCATCACTTGGGAAGCTGAGGCAGGAGGATCGCTGTGAGTTTGAGGCCAGCCTGGGCTATATAGTGAGACCCTGTCTCAAAAGAAAGAAAGAGGGAGAGACGGGGGGAAGGAGGGAGAGAGAGAACGAAAGAAAGAAAAGGAAAGAAAGAAAGGGAGAGAGAGGAGCCAAGGATAGAGCTCAGCAGTACAGCGCCTGCCTGGCAAGCACAAGGTCCTGAGTTTGATTCCTGGCACCAAAAAAAAAGAAAACAAAGTAGGGGGAGGGGAAGAAAGGGTGGGTCCCACGGTCTGGCGCCCCCTGAAGGGCCAGTAGTGACCTGGTGACCTCCTGGGTGGCACAGCAGGTGTGAGGCCATCGGCCTGTCCTGTCAGCAGAGCTGGGCCACCACGTCCCTGCCCCCATCCCCCGCCGTCACCTGCATTCCTCTGAGCAGATGGATGACTGCCATGTGCTCTGTGGGGACAACCTGGGCCTGTGACCCAGAGAGGAGCTGCCCTGGGGCCAGATCTGGCTGAAGGGCGGAGAGAGGAGGCCCAGGCCCTGTGTTGGGCACAGTGAGGGTTCAGCCAGGTACCCTGTCCCTGCAGCCACTGTGTGCCAAATCCCGGGTCAGGTCCAGGACACGACGCACTCGGGGCTCTGGCTGACAGGAGGGGCTGTGGGGAAGGAGGGACTCAGCGGGGAAGAACTGGCCACTGGGTTCAGACCCCAGTGCTCCTTGTTTACTATTGTTTGTTGAGACAGGGTCTCACTAAGTGGCACAGGCTGGGCTCAAACTGGAGATCCTCCTGCCTCAGCCTCCTAGTAGCTGGTATCACTGGCCTGCATCACCACTCCAGTTCTACTTGATTCTTGCTATGTAGCCTTGGCCCAATCGTGTCTCCTCCCTGAACCCCCATTTTCCCACCTGAAACACGTGGTGGGGAGCCCCAAGCCATCATTCATGGAGGGACAGGGATTCCGCTTTCTGCAGGTTGTGTGGGGTGAGCTTTGCGCACTGGGGCTGTGGCAGGGCAGCTTGGGACCCCTGATCCACCCACAGCCAGGACTCAGAAGCACCAGGGCTGGAAAGGGCCGTGTGACCTGGACCTTTCTCGACCCTTGCTTCCTGGTAAAGCTTTCACACATTTATTCATTCACTCACTCACTCACGCACGCATGCATGCATTCATTCATTCAGATACTGCTTGAGCACCAAGTGTCCCAGCCCTGTAGGACCTCAGGGGCTCTAGGGTGCCCTGGACTCCCTCATGCTCCCCAGTGAGCACCCCAAGAGCCTGTCCTGTGGGGTCTGTGCTCCTTGCTGCAGGTGGGGGGAGGCGGCCTCCTCAAAGAGCAGTGGTGACATCGAAGACCCCAGGGAGGCTTAGCCTCAGCAGTTCAGCAGCCCACCTTCGGATGCATTAGCCCTCCTAAACCACGCCGGGAATCCCAGCACCCAGGAGGCTGAGGGCCATGCCGGGAATCCCAGCACCCAGGAGGCTGAGGCAGGATGATCGCCAGGAGTCCAAGGCCAGCCTGGGCAACAGAGTGAGACCATGGCTCAAAAAAACAAAAACGAAACAAAAAGAGAGCTGGAGATGCAGCTCAGTGTGAAAGCTTCGCTTCAATCCTCAGCATCGTGAAGAAAGGGAAGCGAGGGTAGCTGGAAGAAGATTCGAGGAAGAAACAATCCTTAAGTTTTATTTTTATTTTTTTTATTTTTTGTCTTTTTGAGACAGGGTCTCACTGTGCAGTTCAGGCTGGCCTTGAGCTCACTTTGTAGCCCAGGCTGGTCTCCAACTCGCAACGATCCTCCTGCCTCAGCCTCCTCAGCCTCCTGAGTGCTGGGATTACAGGTGTGTGCCACCATGCCCAGCAATCCTGAAGTTTTAAATTGTGCAGCACTCTGAGTAGTGTGATGAACCCTCCCACCGTCCTGCTGCACCTGCCTGCTCAGGAATTGAACCCCCACCTGTATCCCCTCTCTGTACCCACCACGAAGCCCTGTGTGGCTGCCTGGGCTGTCAGATCAGCTGCTGTGCGGTCACCACTCTTGTGTGTGTAGTTCGGTGTCATCCCACCTTTTGGGCATCTCTGGGGGTCTTGGAACACAAGTGGTGCCATCCAAAATATGAGGGATAGGGGCTGGGGATTTAGCTCCGCGGCACAGCGCCTGCCTGGTGAGCACAAGGTCATGAGTTCGATTCCTGGTACTGGAAACAAAAAAAGAAAAAAATGAGGGATATAGCCAGGAGTAGTGGTGCACATCTGTAATCCCAGCAAGGGAGGCTGAGGCAGGAGGATCTCCATGGGTTTAAGGCTAGCCTGAATTACCCTGTCTCAAACAAACAAACAAAAACAGTGAAATTACTGTAGTTCAGGCTTTATCCCCATTACAGTGAAAGACACATGGCCATGAATTCACCTCAGAATACTCCTCCTCACTTTGGACACGCCTATCCTACCCTTCTTGCCACCTTCTGAGGCAGTCCTCCTTTGCGAGTGTTGTAGTTGTGCTATCCGGGCTGCCTCAGTGTCCTGAGCTGATTCAAGCCATCTCCCTTTCATGGTCATTTTGACTCTGGGGAAGAGTCAGAGGTCACACTGTGCCAGGTCTGGTGACCAGGGTGGTGGATAAGGACATAGTGTCATGTTTTTATTTGAAGCAGTTTCCATAAGGATTTTATTTTATTTTATTTTTCCATAAGGATTTTATCAAGTGGCAATTAAGAAAAGAAAGGTAGGGGCTGGGGATTTAGCTCAGCGGCAAAAGCGCCTGCCTGGCAAGCGCAAGGTCGTGAGTTCGGT